ACAAACATGCCTTCGAAAGATACGGGCTCCAAGAGATCTTAACCGAAACGAACGACGCACCGATGCACCGACAACGCGTCCAACCGAAAACCAGATAAGACGCTTCTTTCCCTTCTTTTTTAACAATACTCGGAGAGCGACGACGAGCGAATGGTCATAGGAGATCTGGTCTGGTTCGCTTCGCTACGGAAAATATTCATGTGGCTTGTAGAGTAGTTGCATATATAATGAATAAGCTGAGAATGTCAGTGATATAGTGTCTGTAATATGAGAAGACACGTAAATTGTAAGAGAATTGGAATATTAACGTTTTTATTCACTTGGATTAATGAAACTAATAGTGTTCATTTTTGAATACCGCTTCGAAAATTTGAATTTACGAATCAATAATAAGATAATGAGATCGTAGTCTAATAATATCATTTACATTAGATATACAGACAGAAAACAAAAAATCTCTCCCTCATCTATATCCGAAAAACCCACAAAAATGCAGAACCGCGTAAAAGGCACATTCCAAGAGATCCCACAATAATCCAACAATTTCATCCCCTGTCGAAAAGAGACCGTCGCGAGGGAACTGAAAGACAAAATACGATAACGTGACAGAAATCATCCCCCGTACTAATCCCATTCTCCGTAGAGTGTCGTCGATCAGCGGACGAAAAATCCTCGGGCAATAATGGCGGGTAATAGGGCCAAAACAATAATAAATAAGAGTGGCGAGTCACGGCCGAATAAATCCTCAGCTATCCCACGGTGCGGATCGTCGTTAATCCACGCGATATGGTGTGTTACACGCGGCCGACCGACCCCTCGGCCGATGCAGTAAGCGTAAGCCCGCTAATAATTTATTCAGCGCGCAGGACTACGCGATTACGTTTCTATTAGGATATGAGCGTTCTAGTGTCCTCGAGGGTGCTGTAACCGTATGCCCGTTACCTCCGCCGGGAGTTTCACTTATCGTTCGCCACCGTCCCTCCGCAACGCCCTGGCGGCTTCACCCCGTGCTCGTTTTTTTCCCCCCCTCTTTCTGTCTCCTCGGGGTATCCGGACCGTGACCGGTGACGTCGGGCCCCGTAAGAAAACACACCAGACCCTGCCCTCCTTCAGCAAAATATAAATACCGCGATGGAACGATCGGCGACGATGGAAATAGAATTTTTGTTGACGAGAGAGCTAGCCTAGAGATTTCCACCCCTATTATTATTCTTTTTTCATTGTTTTATTTAGCGGCTCGCCTTCCGTTGGAAATGTGCGAGATATTTGGAGGTGTTCTGGTGAGTAATACATAATTTATGTGGAATAATAACGTTACTTCACTGTGTGAGGGAAAGTAGGTGAGTTTACGTTACGGGATGCATTTGTATTAAAAAGTTTGAGGCGGTATTCTGTTGCGTTTTGTTTTTTAGTGGGTAGACATTAGTGTTATTGATAAAATGTTACTAATTTATATTTGACGCTCTGTGTTTGGAGCAATGAGAAGATACGGGATAATTAGTTTGTCGAAATAATTGAGTGTGGAAGAAAAGTGGCAGAAACTAGTGAAATTGTATTGTTAGAGCAGTAATTAACGCTTTGGCAATGTTAATAGAAATTATGATTTTAAATTGATGGTTATTTATGTTAAATTTATTATTATTTAAAATTTATGTTGTATATTTATTGGTAATATGGAATGTTAAGGATTGATCCCCTTAAAAATACTTTTCCATTGCAGATGTTCAAATAAAGATTCGACTGACTTTTCTAACGAGCGTTAACGCCAAGAATTTGTTAGATTCCGCGCGTGTATCAACGTTGTCCGCGCGATAACGTGGCAACGTTGATAAGCGATGCATTGATTTTTCGTATTTTTTCGACGTCCGTTACCAAATCGTCGGCAGATTACATCGTCTATGGATACCGACCGGCTAATTAAAAATTCTTTCCGCGAAAGAACGTCAGTTGAGGCTTAACAGTTATCAGGGAGCGCGATTAACGGCGATAATCAGCTCGCGCGTCTCGGCCAATTGACTGAATTACACGGGTCGCCGAAAACGAAGATCGTTATAATTAATCTTATCGATTTGCCGCGGGCCAACCGTACATTATTCACGACTAATTTCCACGGAAACAGCGAGTCCGGTGATACGCCTGTTTTTAATCGACGAAACACCAATG